TTATAGCTTATAATATACGTCGTACGAGCACTATAGGTATTATAGAGGTGCACGAGGATAAAAGACTGCTGCGGAGCTCAGCGTGTTGCGAGATTTTTTTTCTCCGCCGCGAGAAACGCGCTCGGCGACCCGGGTTTTCGATACAATATAATATATTTTATTATGATATAAAACAATAACGATATAATACATTTATCATGTACAAATCGACAACAATTAACACGGTACCGACCCATAACGCGTGCATGATATAGGTATACAGTAATATTGTTTTTCGCCGCAGACTGTTATTTAAATGCCGTCGGGCTATTGGAAATTCGCCGGAACCACGAATGTCGTATAATAGATAGGTACCTACATAGCTTTTACTATATTATTATTATTTCCCATCTTTATAATTATTACCATACAGGGCGAATCGCCAATTATGCTCGCCCTTTTTTTCTTCAACAACGCAGTTGTAAAAAAATCTGTTTTTTTTTAAAAGTTTTTTAATATTATACTTACTATAAATCCCATATTTTCAAATCCATGTTTTATTTCGGTACTACCTACCTACCCTCTTACTTAATAAGTTCCCTGCGGAGATACAAACTCTTGTTTTTCAAATGAGGACCGCCATTTTCTATTGTGAATTATTTAGCAGATAATGTTGACGTATCAAAATCAAAATTCGGAAGAATACTTTTTGAATTATTTTACTATGTGTAGTAAGGATAATTACTATTATAGTAATAGAGCCATGGTAATGTACTTGGAAGATATGGCGATTTGAACATTCTAATAATTAATCCATCAAAATTAATTATAATTTGTAAAAATTATCTAAGTTTAATAAACACTAGATCCAATATTACCAATGAACATTTATTTTATATTTTTGTAAGTCCAGTTTTATGTAGGTACCTACTATTGTCCTTAATATTGACTAATAGAAACTACTCGTTCGAGTTTTTAATTAGGTACATCAATTTTGAAAAATATTTTTTTATTTTAAAAACAGAAGTTTTTAGGATATTCTTTAAATAGTACAAAAAATCTCAAGAATTCGAAAATATTTTCCTTTAGTAGATGAAGTTAGGTTAGGTCCGAAAAATCAGAAATGAAAAAATTAATTGTTAAAGATATAGGAAAAAGATGAGTATACTTGGTGAATCAAACTGTATATATTATAATAATATGTATAAATTGTCTGTATATCCGAAAATAATATATTAAAATTATAAATGACACGAGGAGCTTTTTCCTCTGTAGCATGTAACATTGCATACTATAATATTATATAATATGGTGACGATCACCTCGATGTTTGTTTATCACTTGTTTTCCTAATTCGTAATTTAGAAAATGCACTTTGGAAAATTTATATAATCTAAAGTCTTAATTCTCATTAGTTAATTCGAGATAAAAATGTTATCCTCGTGTTACTCAAAAATCTAATTTATGCAGTGGCGGCGCCAGGGGTGGGCCAGGGTGGGCCCGGGCCCACCTTAAAAAGTCTCCGGCGCCCCCTGTGGCCCACCCCAAAAATTAAATTTAATCATATTAGAATACTAAAAAATATCTCATGAATAAATCATGATTTATTAAAATATGAAAATATTAAGTCATGATAGATGGCGTGAACAACATTTTGAATGGGTTGAAAACTATATGCACTATAATATGCTTTCAAGCCTCATAAATAACGTGCATTTTCCAGCGGCTGAATACGAAAATAATAAATTATTATTAAATATTCATTGGTATTGAGTGTAATTATGGGTTAGGGAGCATAAAAATCAAAAAGTGTTTACATGAATATATATTTTGTTAGCAAATAAATACTATTAATACAATACATGTTTACAAATCATTGTTTTAGTAAGTTTACACGATGAAGTGTAAAAAAAATTGGAAGTTGACCCTCCCCCTCTCCCATCTGCGAAATTGCCGGTCATCACTATTGTTTATATATATATATCAATTCAACAATTTGGCCCTCCCTAAAAAATTTGGGCCCCAGCCTGGCCCACCTGGTATTAAAGTTCTGGCGCCGCCACTGAATTTATGACTAAATTATGTCGCTATTTTTACAAGTTGTATTGTTATAAATTTAATTAAGTAGGTGTTCAAGTAGTTAATAGTTATCTAACCATCTATAAGTGTTATACTTCCAGAATGGATGCGAGTAGACAATATGTACGAGGAAAAGCGTAGTGTGAGTGAGAGACACGTTATATTATTTTATTATACTCGATAGTAATATCCAAAGAAAAATAATGCAGTCAAAGAAAATTCGAAGAAAAAGTATGTAGCAAATAATGGAAAAATTTGGAAAAATATATTCAAAATTAAAACTGAAAACATCCATCTTATTTTTCGTGAATGTATTCTCTTCCCTCTCGTTAAACTAGTAAAATAGAGGACGCCAACTCGTAATTCTTCAACTCTTCAAAATGTTTGTAATATAGATACCTCGCCGAGGTCTTTACGCCTGTGTTAGGTACCAATTCATAAGTTTTCATAGTCCTTTTTTTCCTATAGTTACAATGCAATGCGCATATTCTTATGTTTATAGAAATCAAAAATATAACCATTTAATGATATTAGCAGAATGCCTAGCAATAAAAAATATTCTCAAAAACACATTATTCGGAAACGCGTCACAATATTTTACTCGATAGTTCCAATATACCACCGTATGTGTCATGGTACAAGACAAATGATGCTGGCATATTATTATAATTTGAATGCCAGACACACGGATAGGAAGATGAGAGTGCGTACGTATTGCAATAAATATTATTATTATTACTATTATTGTTATGTTCGATCAGTCGCGAGGAATGCAAAACGATGTTACAAAACGAAAGATCGCGCGCGCGTGCGCTCGTGTGCGAACAGAAATCTTCGCGTATACCTATATCTGCTCTCGCGATCGGGTCAATGATACCCAACGTGAAAAAAAATAATAAGAAGGAAACACACTCACACACACATGCACACACATACTACACACAAATGCATAGTACACATTATAAGGTGTATATAATATATAAATATAAAAAGGAGCGGTCTTCTCCTCGCTCACACACATATTATACATCGGGTACGCAGCCTCCGGGCGCGAATCGCCTTCCATTTTATCCAGACCGCCGCCGATGTTGCCGCTATTATATTATTATTATTATTTATTTATTATCATTATTATTATTACTACTACTATATATATATATAAATTCGTATTTATAATATGTAAAGGTATACACACACACACACACATACATAGGTACACACTCGCGACTATATTTTAATTGCGAAACGGGTCATTCAATCTACGTCCTTGTCGGTCGATTCTCCCCGCCAACGTTTTATCTCATCTTTCTTTTCATACCCGTTGTTGTCTAACACGTCATGCCCGCTCTCCCGAATCTCCTTGTGGAGGTCGATCGGTCATCGATGTATTATGCATATTATAATATGGGTAAGTTTATAATACATAGTTAATATAATCAGCGTCTATTCGATATGTGTATATTATATTATTATATAGTACATAATATTATGGTATGAGCACACGCACACTCTGATAAATATATAAATAAATAATATGTATATACTATATAGATATGGTTAGGAATGTTCTCGTGATCATAATATTATAATTTGTAATTAACAAAAACGTAGTAGTCGGCATCCATGACCGCACTGGAGTACATACGGATTTCTTGAAATATTATACAATATTAGTCATTATAAGGTCAGAGTTTTTGGTTTTGTGCGAGCATACCTACTTTTTATCTCAATTCGTACAATATGTTATGGTATAGGCGTCTACGTATATTGTTGGTCATCGTCTACGCCTAGTAAACCCATAGTATTTTACGTAAAACAAATATTTGTATTTTTTTTTACACCAACAAATATTACACACAATGTTATTATATTTTTATTTACGCAACAGTCGTAACACCCGGCCCCCAAACAAGTACTACTCCGTTTTTTCGAACAAGCTTTAAGACATATTTAAATTAGGTAGTTAAAGGTATCGATAATAAGAGCTATAATACGTTTATATTTCAAAGAAATTAATACTGCAATCGTATATGCAGTGTATAACTTCTCATAATGATTTACGGTCGAATTTTTTCGACACGAACACGTTTCTATTAATATTTTTTTTTAACCTGTATATATATTATTAATAATTGTCGAAACGATCGCGTTTAATTTCGACTGCGCATTTACCGACTGTCCGGAGGTTACCATTACATATTATTATATTACATCGAATATATAAAATATATTTATAATTGGCGAACACGACAATATTTACACTCGCGGTTTTTACCTCGCTTTTGGTAATTTAACCTCACCGAAATGAACCCAATCCGACAGACATATATATATATATTATATATAATACGGTAAACGGTTAAGCTCATGCACATGCCGGAACCTTCACCTTTCGCGCATTCCTTGACCTGAATACCGTAACGCGGGTACCTGCAGCAACCAACGTCGTGTCTTTTAAGACAACCGAATTAACAGTCCGATTTAAGTCGTATAGGAAAAAATTTAATAATGATAAACGTTTTCCATGATATTATTCTTGTATTGGATATCGTTTAATCATTATATATACTTTCACCGGAAAACCCAAACAGCTAACATATATTATTTACAAAGTTACCCCCATATATCATTCCATATAAGCACATGAGCGTCACTAAGGGGTACAGAGGGGAACTTTTGCTACCCCATACATTTTTTTCCACGTTTGAAAAAATAAACAGGAGGAACATTTTCGTAGTTAATATTTTTTTTTTGCTTCCCCAAAATGTTGACTCTATAGTGACGTAGGCACACATGATAATAATATTATAATATACAAATCTGCACTATTATCCGCCCTGCACATACGGTGGGTGATATTATGTAACTACCCATCACATAATGTGTCCGTAAAAATTTTAAATTAAATAATGTATAGTTTTGTACTCGATGGCGTAAATATAATGTTCAATCCGATTTTGTTGTTTCAGACATGGCAGGAAAAAGAGGCCGGAAAAGTGGTGTTGTACACGACCACCATGGGGATAGTCAGGGACACGTACCAGCGGTGCCTGCAGGTCAGGCAAATACTGAGGACTCATCTGGTCAAGTACGTGGAAAGAGACGTCTTCATGAGCCGGGAAGTGCAGAAGGAAATCCGAGAACGTCTCGGCGGCGACGAAATTTCAGTGCCGCAGCTGTTCGTCGAAGGGAACCTCATCGGAGTCAGTTTCCGTTTTTACAATATTATTCTAACCAAATATCAATGTACCAATCTATATATGATATATATACGGGGTGATCCATTTAACGTAAAACACTCTTAATTTCAAAAACACTTTCATTTTTGAAAATATTTCTTCTACATAATTTTAAATCGTTACAAGACCACAATTTTGGTGGAAGAAATCATATTTTTTACAATTTTTTTTTATCGTTATCGTTTTTAAGTTTTTTATTCTTTTTAATGATTACATACCTACATTTTTTATTTCAAAACCCACCATGACCCTCTCGAGACATCCAACAGAATCCAAACCCACATCGACATCCTCTCAACATGGTACAAAGAATGGGGGTTGAAACTCAATGAATCCAAATCCATCCACTGAACTTTCACTCTCAGACCAATAAGCTGCCCCTCTATCACACTTAACAACCAACCTCTCCCGACCGCTCAAAATGTCCGTTACCTAGGTTTATACCTAGATCGCCGACTCACGTGGGCTACCCACATACGTAACAAACGACTTGTACTAAATAATCGTCAAAAACAACTTTAAAAACCGAAACCCTCTCATCCAAAACCTCTTTTCTCGAACAATCCTGGGCGACCCTGGCTGACGTTTAAAGCGTAGCTGGTGCCGTGACCTACTAGTCGACTAGTTGACTAGTCCACCATCCCGTCATGAAGTGCTATTAATGAATAGCTTCTTCATCAAGCCAACCATGACCAATGACCTATAATGTATTATCCCTCCATTATGCTTATTGTAATTATTTTTATACAGATTGTACAAATAAAAAAATATGACAAAAAAAAAAAAAAAATTTCAAAACAAAATATTATTTGGAGCATTTCGATCAATAAAAATCAAATTTTGGACAAATCGTTTATTAGTAATATAATACTTTTTAAATTTCAAAATTTAGATGAATGGAATATTATTATAGGGGATAAGAACTTTGAGTAACCCTGTACCACACCACTCCGCTCATCTAAACTTTAATTACTGATAAGTTATAACGTATAAACTATTCGTCCAAAATTCGACTTCTATACATCGAAGTAAAAAATGTTTTGCTTAGAAAATATAAAGAATTAAAAATTGTCAATAGATAAAAGTTGATAACGATGAAAATAGTAATTATTTTAGAGAACTTGTTTATAACGACTTAAAATTATGTAAAAAAAATATTTTCAAAAACGTCAATAGTTATTGAAATAATGAGTGTCTTACGTTAAGTAGTGAGGGGATTTTTGAACCGAACCGAAAACTTTACATCACTGCAACCTCACGAGATTATGCGTGTACATATAATATTATAACAGATTAATATTATGCATTGTCGTCGCTCTTTACAAAATCTAATAGGTACCTTAGTCCTTAATTGCACTAAACCCATTAACACAGCACAAGTGGTTACGAGTATAATATTATTATTTTTCGTATAACATTAATAACGTTTAATATTATAACCTTTGTATAAGTAATCTTGTTCTCCTTGAATTTTTGTTTTGCGTAACGTGTTTCGTTTAAAATTTAAAACGAGATCGCTGGGCTTCGAAATTTAATTTCACGCATCGAAATTTAAACCCACGATGTCTTCATAACAATAACTATAGGTAGGTAGGTACATAATATACTAATAACTCACAGTCCACGTCATGATTGTACACGATTTTTAATTGAATTCCGTGTTCTGTTACAAGATAAACCACCGACATGGTACGGTGTACTTTCGTCTGAGACAACTTAAGCGTGTTTTGATGTTATTGTAATTTAAACTTTGCGAGAAAACCGCTTTTAGTTTCTTTTATTATCTTTTAGTGGCTTTGTGTAGATACCTATTTTGTAATTCTATGTAAATCTAACAAACGACAAAATGCAAAGTAAATTTACGAATCAAAAAGCTATCTAATGTTATATTAAATGTACGTGCGTCGATGGGATATAGGATACTTTTAATTATTATTGTTTAATAACATACCTATTATAGAATTAGCGTACTGTCATAACTTAAGTTTATATGTGTATATATATATATATGATAGGTATCGTTAAACAAACTACGATCTAACGATGTTGTTAAAAGTTTACGACATTTTAATTTAATGATCGTCGATGTCTTGTTCAAACTAACAATAATTTTAAAATAAATATTATATATTAGCCGTTAACAATAATCATAGCCATTGGTTCATGATAATGATTAACGATTGAACGACGTTTGACTTTGTTCTCAGGATGCAGAAGCCGTAGAAAGACTGAACGAATCTGGGGAACTCCGATCGATTTTAAAACCATTTAAGGTAAAGCCAAAAGATTTATGTTTCATTAATCCGTTTTCATATTCGGAACGTTCCTTCCGGTGCAGACAAGAATATCCTGTTGTCCGATGACATCAAACACACACACACACATACACACACAAACACACTTACAGAACAAAATGCAACTTTCCTATTCCGGACTACTATATATATACTCGATGGTTTTTTTTATTATAAAAAGATTCTCTCTGGCAGAGGTCTCTCTCACTTGCTTCTCACTTCATTTCATTTCCACCTATCTATTACCATTTACCCATGCTATTGTTGTTCCATCATACTGCCGCCGGCCGACCAACAAAAAATAATATATATATAATATTATGCATCTAATGCACTCGAATTTACGTGTAGATTATGTAAATAATTCAAATTTGTACAATGCTTAATGTTTTCACTTTTCACAACCCAAGTCACGATGTTATCTAATATATGTAACACATAACAAAAAAGAACCATCGAACAATTTACGGTTCAAAATGATTGATGTGCTGTGTATATATATTGAATCACGTTTTGAACCGTTTGTAGTTTATAAACGCTCACCATCACCAGCAATCCCTCTAAATCAATAAAACTAATAATTACAATTAATTTACATTAATAACAGACTCTAAATATTATTTTGTAATTTTTAATAGTTGGTGTGAAATTATTTGCTAATAGACTTAAAGAGTAATTTTTTTATTCTTGAAATCCCATGCGAATAAGTTGAATCTTTAACATATTTATCTCTAATAAATGTTGACACACAATTTTGTCGGTTTTTTTTTACTGTTTTTTTATTTTAATAATAATTATTTTATCGGACATTTTTTTGAAAATATTATTTTAAATGATGGTTATATTGTATTGTTTTTATTTTACAATATAAAATGTTTGATCGACAGATCCAATTTTACATGAATAATAATAAAAGGATTTTGCCGTTTTTTCTTCAATAAAATCTATATCACACTTTCTAATCCATTATGAGAGTAATTTTAAGAAACTAATTCAAAGGGCAGAACATAATATTATAACAATACACTGTATTATGATACCTAACCATTATAAATTATAAATAATTATAAAAAAGAAAATTTGTCCATCCATTTTATAAATAGCTGCTGAGTGTATGCGCTATGCGATGAATAACATTTATGAATATTGTGATACCTTTTTTTTTATTAAGGGGCAACGACCTTATATTATTATATACCTATTTACATCTTATTCTTAGGAACCACGTAAATTTAAGTAATATATTATTTCTACCCTATTGTAAATATTAAATTTACAATATCTACCATTGTTACAGGCATATATTATTACAATGGAATAAGCATTTAAATATTGTTGACCGCCATTATAATGAAATTATAATATTAACACGCGTATAATAGGTATAGTAACGTAATAGTCATTGCAACAATGTTCATAATTTACTATATGTTATAATATGTCATAAGTAATAGGAATAAATTAACTTTCCGGGAGTGTCACATACAAGTCTTCTATTTATTTATGAATAATAATAATAATAATTAATAACACGTTTCATCACACGTAACGTATACGACGCTACTATTATTGCAAGGACCATGTTACAGAACTTTGGGCAGTGGGCACTTGTTCATTTTGAAATTAATAAACGTTCACACCTAATAATTTAAAACAATGCGGTTACATACTGATCGTCCGTATAGGTACAAAACGTTTTGTATATTGTCTCAGGTTACGACAAAAAATAAATAAAAAACATCATTGTTCAGCAATCAAAAAGCGTATAACCGGGTATCAATACATTTCTGTGCTATCAACACACGTGGGACATCAAAATAAACTATAACCACTTTGGTCAAAACCTTAAATAAAAAATATCAAAGTCACCTGACGTTTCGAAATCTTGCATAAAGCAGTTGTATTTATTAGACTTTATTTATTATTATTGCAGACAAAAAATACTTAATAATAATAATTATTAAAATGCAATACTTAGTAAAATATTCTGCTGATAACTGTTAGCGATTATTAAACATAATGAATTCAAATAAATGAACCATTTTTGACAAGCCGTATAGTACCTAACTAGTGTAGAAATGAAAAATAATATCCGTTGACCTATTGAGAAAATCCGGTGGATAACGCATAGTAATAATTATTATTAAAAAATTTAAGTGATAATTCAAAAAAGTCGTCCTTATAAGAACGGTCCAGTGCAGCACGCTGTTTTAAACTGTTTTAAGATCATATTATATAATCATGAATAATAATAAATTTTAGGACCGTAGGCGGAATTTGAGGTTAGTGGGGGGGTGAAATTGCCCCTCTGGTATTATTCGAGAAAAACAATGCTTTTGCCACTCCCAACACTTGAAAACATGGTGTGAGATGGCAAAAGAAAAATGAATGAGTGTACACCCACCTATACATTCCAATGAGTTTTAGGTTTATCGATTACAGTTTTTTTTTCAATTTGCATTCCTGTTTTTGAAATATTTGACTTCTGCAACCCCCTTAATATGTTTGCCAAGTGTCGCCTGTGGTAGGAATAATACTATATAGGTGTAGGTAATAGCTGGCGTATAATATATAATATCGCGTCTGTGTTGTTATTGAAGGCAACATCCCCCGCGCGGAATAATATATTACAATAATATAAAAACAATAGAGAATTATTTAACGTGAGGTGAAATTATAATGTCATTAATCACGCGTGCCTATAATATTATATTGCTGAATGGCGAAGAAAGTGCCGATGAAAACGAGTGGAAAAATATCGTAGGCGATCGTCCGGACCATTAACGTGCGACGACTTTGGATCGAATTCAATAAGAGAGGTGTGTGTGAATGTGTGTGTATGTGTGTATGCGGTTCGACGGAACAAACGACACGTCGACCTACAACTGAGACGCAGACGTGTGTTACACGACGAGTATACTGGTCCCTATTATAGCGCGTGCGGCTTATAAATTATTGTCGTATCCGAAAAATCGATACGCTAGACGCGTAAGCTTTGCTAAAGTATAGACGGTACATAGATATCTATAAAATAATACATTATTTATGCCTACCCGAAGAACCGGGATTGAGGTTTTCGGCGGTCCAGAAGGCTTAACAATATAATAGTTTCCCCTAAATATATATTATACGCTCCGCATAAGCTTCACCTCCATCCCTCTAGAAAATGGAATTTTCATAAATGACTCTTATAGTCTATACTAAAAAAATATTTAATAATAATCTCTAGTGGACATTTTTAAATATTATTATAAAAGATAACGGTCAAGCCATTTTTCTACCTGCACCCTTTAAAGTTTTGCCGTCCTATAAACAGCGGAAATCGGTATACGTCTGCACGTCGTCCCATTTTATTCAAACATCCGGGCCCACTTGGACACTAACTGTCGACCCACGTTATATAGTGACAATCGTGCAACTGCGATGTCGCATTATTAAGTTTGTTTCGGGAAGAAGCTACAAATGACACGTCCCGATAGTTCGGAAACAGCTCATTGTCCTTATACAATTCACAGGGGGCTCGTATAATAATAATAATAATAATAAGTATTAAGTACCGAAACGTTGTAAATTGTAATAAATCAATATTCGACAGCGTTATAATAATATCATATTATTATCATGTTTTCGTATGGTTTCAGAGTCCGGACGCGTGTACGACGTGCCAAGTTTGCGGGGGCTACAGACTGCTGCCCTGTCCGATGTGCAACGGAAGCAAGAAATCTGTGCACAGGAATCACTTCACCACCGAAATGATCGCCCTCAAGTGTATGAACTGCGACGAAGTTGGATTAGTACAATGTTACGCCTGTTGAACGACGACAACACATAATTATATAGTATTATTATTATTTTTATTTTGTTTTATCTGATGACGCAATATGTATCGTTATTATATATTATTACCGATTATGATTTATATCGAAGGCTTACATAATATAGTGTACCTATAATAATATCATAATCGCTGTTGCAGTAGTATCAATTTACTATAATATAATAAGTAAGTTGTATGTATGTATAATACGGTAAATATGTATAGGTACCTGTATAATATAATAGTATAATATATTATTATGCTATTAATTGCTATATTGCTATCTGTTAATCTGTTAGTTAACACCACCGTTAGTATTATTTTTTTCTTAAATAGATTTCAGATGGCCGCCACAAATAACGCACACTTACCAAATCTGTTTTTTTTTTCAATTACGATCCAAGTATCCAATACATACATATTATTATAGACAGCGTGTACCAACGAAAAATTATAGAAATATTATAGTATAATGATATTTAATCACAACATCATACTATATAATATTAATATTTAGGGACCCATTTTTTGCAGAGAACCTACCCCTACAGTATAATATATGTAGGTACCTACCCACAGACTACAGCTGTTATTTATGTTTGTGACGTAAATTCGTGATACCCATCTGTACGTATAATAATTAAGCTGATGATTCTTAAATGTATAGTTTATAATAATATATTATCGGTACTTCTTTAAAATCAAGTCGTGGTTTCTATACAATACTATATATTATTATGTGTATAAGTATACGATATTATACTAAATCGGCTTTTTTCTAAGACTTTATTTTATGTACCTACCGAGTACACGTCTTTGTATAGCAGTAATATAATAGGTGTTACGTATGTCGTATACGTGTTATGCGGGGATAATATACGCTAGAACAAAATTGGATACTCTATAAATGATGCACAACATATAATTATATTTAATATTTATTATTTACTACTTATTATAAATAATAATTTAAAACATGATATCTACTTATTTTCGTACTCATCGTAATATTTAATATTAAATCTGATTTTAACAGTAGGTATGTATCTAAATGTGTGTCCAATTTTGTTTGAAAATTCAATGTTATTCAATTACAAGAATATCATTTAATTTCCTTACTTCAATTTACAAGTGTTATGAATTTCACTATAATTGTTTGGGAAAACATGTTTATTATTTTATTTATTAATTTTTAAATTTATATTATACACTATGTTGTTTTTACACTAAATACCAAAATGCTCAATATTGTACTTTATTTGTATCGAATATATTATTACAATAAATGTCCTATGTATAAGTAGAATTCTAAACAGTTATTATATTATTTACTTATGTATAACTGAGGTAGATTAAATTGCATCAATTTTGTAACAATAGTTGATTTATTTTTTTTATTTCAAAATTATAATTTTTCCTTTTTTTATTCCTCGTGTTTATCTATTAATAAAAGCGGCAAGTGATTAATAAATAATTTAATTGCAAATTTAAAACTGTAATATGTGAATATTTCCCGATAGTAACAATTTTGTTTTTACGTATAATAATATTATAATAATCAATGGTATAATATTTTAATAATCAAATAATAATTACACGGCGTAACGAATAGGCTATTTGCGTACACTACTGTCTTATCGCGGTATTTAATACGTACAATAATAACAAGCCGATACAAATTTTACTAATAAATTGAGATGAAAATATCAAATAATTGGCTATAGTTTTTGTTTTAATGGCAAAAATTAATGGTAATTTAAAAATAAATATTTGTTCTATTATAATGTATGCAGTAACAAACATAGATTATTCTACTGAAAATGATCATCAATTTGGGTTCATAATGTGACTTTGAACTTCATACTCTTTTAACCATGCTTATAGTAAATTCTAAAATAGAAGTCCATAATTTAACTATTAAAATGGATGTAGATGCTTATACTTAAAAAGTAGCAGCAAGTTACAAACTTTGTAAAGTACATTTTATCACTCAGAACTTATAGCACTCAAGACTAAATTATGAACAGAAGAGTCCACCATCTCAGTTAACCACTTTTTGAAGTTATAATCAACATTTTAAGTGAAGCATCTGAAATATTTTTTTTAACAGTTTTATGTTGTATATTGAGGGATAAATCATTTTCAGAATTCTCCTCACCAAACCAGTAGAATACCAAAACCTAATTAGTTATTTCAATCCATATACGTGTAATGAAATCTGTTAGAACTAAATTGTACTCTAGTAGTAATCAGACATTACTAAGTATAGAAACTTTACCATTTTTAATGTAAGTATACATGTAGAGACATGAAGTTATCAAAGAACATTTTAAGTCAACTGCAGTCGACAGCCACAGAAAAATAATACTGTACAGCAGCGGTTCTCAACCCATAGGCTGCGGACAATGTGGTGCTCAGCCACAGAAGCTGGTCAAGGGTGTAAGCCAAGTATTGGAAAATGTTAATTTATCCTAGTTAGTACCAACGTCTAAATTTTTATAAGATTTTATTAACGTCTATATGTGTGGTTCCCTAAAGGCTAAAGCCAAAGGTAAAAATCCAATGGATCAGAAATCCATTTGAAGGTCACGTCTTAAACAATTTAACATTAATTCATCAAGTGAAGAGGACTCGTTGATTGATCTATCATGTGACCAGATTTTAATATTCTTTAAAACCACACCATTTGTCACATTCTGAAAAATATTCGGCAAGATTATGCAGACATTACCAGCCATTACCGGTAACCACTTCGGAAACGGTTTTTCCATTTATGGTTTTTCGGAACATTTTAGTTTTAACTTTAATCTACACAAGACAAATACCCACTTTAAAAAACTGTTCAGGGCAAGCTAAATTAAATAATAAATACCTATAAAAAATATCATTTGGGGCTATGGATAAATGTAAATTAAAATGAAATTACCCATAAGTTATGGTTGGGCCATAACCATTGATTGAAAAAAGGTCATGGAAAAGTGTTAACCAACATCAATTACAATAAAATAAATAATAATCAATTATTAATAATTAGTAATGTTATCAAAATATGGCTGGGTAAAAGAATTATTACTGAAATTTCAAAGATATCAAGTATCTTCTTTTGTAAAACCTTTTATTAACAAATGTCAAATATATCCAAGCAGCTAGTATACTATCTCTAATCGTACTTATTATCTTGTAAATAAAATATATATTCAAAAAATTAGAAAACTATTTCCAAAGAGCAAAAAAAAAAAAAATTTTAAATTATAAATTAACGTTAATTTTTAGACATTTCTGGTTTTGTTGAATTGACAGACTTTTTTTTTTTTTTTTAATAGTTAAAATAGAATATTTACAATCTGTAATTTTATATATACAATGAATAAATTTGGTAATAAAAGAAACAACAAATAACCTGAATGGCTTGAGGAGGGAGGCCCACCAGAGATTTTTGAAATTGACCGACTTAAAAAAAAAAGTTTACCGCTATACATTACCCATTAATCAAATTTGATGGTTACCGGTAATTGTTAATCGCTTCCCAAAATTAAAACTTACAAACCTGGAAGCTGTTACTAACCCAAAATTGATCATAGTAACTGGTTTCCATTAAAAACCGGTTACAAGCCCTGGTTTAAATGTACATATTGGTTTAAGGGCCACAACAGTAACAAAAGTCCAGGCATGTTTTCATAGTTCATTAGTATTGGTTCATAGAATGCTAAGGAATATAAAAATTCAAAATAATATATTGTATGTATTTATTTAATTCACTAACTGTAAGATTCCCAATACATATTTAATAAATTATAAGCTATTTAAACAACATAAATGTAATAAATACTAAAATAACTTTATAGATACCATGAATGTATTAAATTACATCTGTATTTTAATCTTTGAAAATCAATTAGTACTACAAATCGGATAATTTTAAATCAGGAATTCAAAATATTACCAGGAGTATAATATGGAAAATGAAACTTTTCTTTTTTTCCTATTTATACCTAACAACACAATAATTCCTGATTTAAACTATACTTTATAATACTACTATATTTAATACTTTGTAAATTAAATAAACACATACATTAAAAATATTTATAAATAAAGTTCAAAATCAACACGTTTAAACGAATGAAAATCACTGTTTGAGTTACATTTACGTACCCAAATGGGTTCCTTAAATTTATCATCTACTTTCCATTTCTGCATTTGCTCAGTATTGTACGGACCAAATATTTCATTACTTTCTAATGAAAATTTGTATTCCCACTGTAATGACTCTCCTAATAACATTGCCAAAGTTTGATTAAGATATTTAAATACCTATTGATAGTAAAATAATATTTTTATAAATACCTGTCAATAGTTCTTCTGGTTCTTCTGGTTCTTCTTGACCACTCTGGATTGTACTTTCTAATTTTTCCTTTTCTTTTAAATCAAAATCTTCCGCATACATATCCAAATCCGATGCCATAGAAGTTGACGGTTGTCCTTTCTTTTCTGATTTTGAAATCTGTAAAAAAAAATAATAGTACTTTTTAGTATTTTTAGTATTGTTATATCAAATGACAAAATGAATCAATAGTTAATCAGTTTAAAACTAATATTTAAACACTATTCTATAACATTATTCAAAATAGTTGTTTCTAGATTGTTAGTTGTTACCAGTATAAAAATATAACTTTTCTAAGCTTTAAATCATTTTATAATATTTAGATAGTATGCAGTTTACATTTTACACTACTCTGTGCTTAATTAACTAATAATCTGCAAATTGAGTGAGGCTAGGTCCATGTATTAACAAAAGCAATAATTTTCAAATATTAAGTAACTATATTTACAGTTTATTGTATTAGTTTATTTGGTTTGTATCACTAAAATAACTTACAAATTATATTCGTGTTTGAAATTTGAAATTAATATTTATCAAAACTACAAATTTTTCTGGTGGAGAACTCCAAGAATAAATTATTTTTAAAAATATTAAATTATACTATATAAAATTAAAGTTTCACTTATAGACCACATACTTTACCATTAAATTTACCACAAATCACATCAATTTTGAAGAACGTGTATACAACCAATGTGATGGACTATGTGTAAATTAAATAATGTCTTTAAAATGAATAATATGGCTAAACATTTTTAGGCCTATTTATTAAAACATGACTAAATAAACATAACAACTCACAAAAGTTTTTTATTAACTTCTTGATAAAAATGTTATTGTATTATAATTAACTAGCAAAATAAACTCAAGAAATCTGCTTACAATTTGAGAAATCTGCTCATAAGTTTCTTGATAAACATCCATGTTGCCGTTAGCTGTTAAAATTTGATTAGCAAGCTCTGTAAGTCTAGTGACTTTTGAAGACGAACCTTCATCAGTGCTCAGTCCTGCCTTTTTCAATTTCCACCTTTCAGCAGTAGTAAGTCGTTTGTTTCCACCTAAACGCCTTAATGATTTTGAAATAGTCTCTTTTGGCTCCATCATACTTATGATTTCTTTATACGCAGCAATTACATTAAATTCTACATTATCCTCTACACTTTCATCAGCTTTTTTCTTTTCTTTGGACATATCTTTAATCTAAACAAACAAATTGCACATTATAATACGACAAAATGTAAGAAACTATTATTTATGTTGTTTTATTTACTTTACACCAATCAATATTCTCTAGCCAGTTGTCCTGTACATCTTTTTCTTTTTTCCAATGATACATTCCTTCTTTATCGAAGTGCCCTTCTTCAAGTTCTTCTTGCATATTAAAAGGTGTGATTCGTATCTCACCATCTTGTCCAACAACTCCTTCTTCTTGGCCTAGAGGGAATAATAATACAATTGGTAACAAATTGTGCAATACGTCCCAAAGTTGAACGATTAAAAATTGTATTCAAGTTTAAAAGTATAAAAGTTACACATCGATATGTACCCTATAAAGTCTTAAGTACATTATATTTTATGCATGAACCACAATGTAGTTACCTTCAATATCTTGCTCTTGCATCACATCATAATTATTTTCATCAACACTGTCATCATCGTCTTCTTCCGAATCAGCTATATTATTTAGCTTTTCAAACTTATTTTGTTGGAAAATCTCTTCTTCTATTTTTCTTTTATTCATTTTTGGAACTATGGATTTAATGAGCTCGACAGAAAAACAATACACAACAATTTACCAACGCCAAATCCTGAGGCCTAAAAACAATAAAATGAAAAACTGTCGACCGAACAGAAATATTAACTGTTCGTGACTACAAGTCTTCAACTTCGTGTTAAACTGTAAACTGTAAACAGTCCACTATTTATTCAAGCGCTCTTTTTTAGTGTGATAGCTGATAACTGATAAATGGATAAATGATAATAAACAATAATCACCCATATGGCCATATAGTAATTTTATTAAGACCGTGCTCCCCACGAAGACTAGAATAATAAATTCTAGTTTACTTCATCAATTAATTGATCTTTGACCTCATGAACCTCCCTAACGGCCTAACACCTGCACCAAACAAGGTGTATCAATACAACTTGCACAGAACCATATTGTTGTAAAACAAATAATACAATTAATAATTCGTATTCTGTGTTTATACCACGTTTATATACATCTGTGGACTTATCAACTATCACAACTATCAAGCCGGAAAATATGTAAATAATAAATAGTAAATACGAAAACGAGATTAGATAAAAAAATCACTAATTACTTCCTATTGTGTCGAATACTCGAATTAATATAATATAAGATAAATCTTAATAATATATATATCATATATCTCAATTCGTGTTTGAGAGTTGTGACTTAGTTCTTCTGTATCTTATTAGTACAATCTTTAGTTCTTTACTTGAATACGTATTGTATTTACGATTTACTATTTCATTTATCGAAAAATTTTCCAACAACACTTCTTAAAATGTTTTATAACGAATCATTGATTTTTCACGGAATTTCATTAGGTTTTTTCAATATATAGTAGTGGACATTTAAGATATTAAAACAAGTCCTGAGCTTTAGGTAATTTGTATTTCATTTATTTACCAGAGTATGATTTTAATTACAAAAGTAATTTGGATTTTGAAATGCTTATACTCCTATGATAAATTGCTAATTAATTGATATGTATTTTTTTTTAAACTAAAATATAATTGACTGTTTTTACACAGAATGGATACTTTGGTGGGGGACAAGCAGCCTAGCGATACTGTTGAGACATTAACAAATGATGCCAGCAATGATGAAATTTGGGAAATAATTGACAAAGAAGACGACGGTAATAATATGCTGTGTTTAAAAATTGCAGACAAATTGTTAACACTATTTTATAGAGGACCTAAGGAATTTGTCAGCTGCGGTTTATGCATTTATACTATTGGTCATTGGCATACCACTATGGTGGCGAATGACAGAAGTACAACGCCACTCTCTTCCATATGCACAGATCTCGCAATTGGGTACCATGGACGTAATTATTTCTACAGACATATTTGTATACACTAAAAATCCATATGTAACAGAACAAATTATCGAACAAATTTATACTACATTCAATTCAAGTAATTCTAAAACAATTACTTAAAAAATGTATACGCAGTAAATAAAATATATTTTTACAGCTATGTTCAGTATCAGTGCTCATCCTTCTACTTCATTAATTCAGATGATCCTACATGAATAAACTAGAGATGGTTTTAACTCCTCTAGGATCATTACAACTAATTGAAACCACTAGTGTAGATGATATAATAGCTGGTATTGGTCGTAATATTTATTTTCCTCCCAATACAGGTAAGCCCACTCTAAATTTTTCCTATTATTTATTGTCCATGTTATTTATTTTAAATGTATTTCAGACATTAAATTATTAATGGACTCATTAAAACGGCTGTTACAAACAGATGCATTGTCTGATTCAATGATATCAATGTTAAACCCTGGTAATCATTCTGATGACCAACAAGTAGTTACTGAACGACAGCGTAGAGTTAGACCATCATCAGATTATAATGTACTTCTTACTGTTGTAAATCCAGAACCTGAGAAACTGCATGTGTCTTGGAAGCCAGAAATACCTTTAAATCGTTGGTTTCAAAAAATGTTGATTTTATTTAATATTAAATTATTTTATGCATTTTAAATATATTTTTAGGTTATCTTCAGCCTTTACTAGATCAATTAAAACTGATTTCAAACTTTTCCGTGCAATCTCAATGGCTTTATTTAATAGATTTGGTTCAAAAGCCGCCAAAATTGAACACTACATTTGTATTAGACAAGAATCACGCTCAATACATAATTACTCCTCTAGAAAAAAAATTAGGTAATGTTTTCAAAGCTCAATTAGTTATAATTTTTTATGGTTAATATTTATTTGGTTTACTCGTTTTAGGTTCTGGAGTGTCTCGAAATCCATGTATACATTTTGTTGTATATGTAACCCCTTGTTCTTATATTCCTTTATACTTTCATGAAAACAATCAGTTGACTACTGCTATGATGTCAGCTCGCTGGGGTGGAGTTCAAATCTTAAATGCCAACGAGATGTCATGCAATGAATCAGTAAGCTTCATACCTGATGATCTCAGTATTATGACTCCCATCATCACACAGTTCCATTCATTAATTGGTGTGCCAAATATGTCCAATTACATGTCACTAATGCCACTAAAATCTTCTACTCTGCGTAAATGGCAATTGGATTCAATGTACAGGCTCAAAATTATTGAACAATACACTAATACTCGTATTACTTTAACATCATTGTCACGACTTTTGGGTGAAATCAGTAATATTGTGATAATTGAAGAAGTTGGAAAAGCAGTAACTGAATCCGTAGAAGCAGCTATTAAAGTACTTCAATGTATAGAAAAAGGACAATTGGAAGAAGCATTGGAATACAGTAAAATAGCATTTGAAACATCAGAGTTTGCATTTACTCATCCATCATTATTGGCATTGCTCTATTTTCCGGACGATCAAAAATATGCGGTTTATATTCCATTATTCTTACCTGTTATGATCCCTGTATTAATGTCTTTGAAAGGAGTTAAAAACTGGATACAATTGAAGTACAAAATCTAATTTAGTAATAATAACTTAATGATATTGTGTTTATTTTTTTTAAATTTATTACAATAAAATGACTGTCCAATATTCCATATTATGTTATAAACTAATACTTAGGTACTTTAAATGACGATCCTTCGTCTTTACCAGCTGGTACTTTACGTTTTTGTATAATATTTTGAATCTTGTTCCATTCACGATCAAGTTCAGCTTTTTCATTCTTTTCTTTATTATGTTTACGTGTACGCCGTCCGTCTGTCATTTTAACACCATACTGGAAAGCGGCTTTTGGTAATGCTTCTTTGTTACTCATATATGTACCATACTCCTCAGGAGTATCAAAATCCCAACGACCAACTGGTCCTTTCTTGTTACCAAGATCCATTTTTGTATAATCAGCCTCATCATCTGAATCTTCAATTGCATCATGCATTTCATCCAGTCCTGGGTAACACTCTGCATAGCCGGTGGGTTCAGCTGCCAATCGAGATAATAAGCCCATTTGGTTTTTGCGTTGAAATTTTGTTTTACTTAATGCCTCCTAGAAAAATACATAATCAAAATATTATTAATTAATTTAAAATTATATTAAACTAGGAAAAAATATAATTTATATTGTGAATTGTGTTTTTAATACTTGTATAATTAGAAAGTCAAATTTAAATAATTATTTATCCTTTTATTAATAAAAAATAATCGTTTATTAATATTCTATAGTACCTATTATTATATTTTTCTACTTTAGAACTGGGTAAAATAATAATTCAAATAATACTTAGAGTACCAAAAAATATATATTTATACTTTTTGAAAGTTATTATACTAATGCTGGATTGTACAAAACATTTAATGAATCAATAGTGAGCTTATGGTCTCTTAAACAAGATTTAGTAGCCTGTGATTGGTCCATTAAATTTTTAGTGAACCATTAAAAATAATAAATTGTTTATGCAACCCGGCATAAGTGTTAAGTGTATTATAGATTGAATTGGTGTAGTAAAATGTACATATTATAGGTACATAAACTACATTACAGTAATAATAATACGCAAAAATAATTACAAAAAATAAATATATTTACCCATCCCATTCATTCTCGTTTATGATGTCAGTTTCCACTTCTTTTCTTCATCCTTTGAATGTTTAAAATAGGTTGATTGTTTTTAGTGGTCTCTTCAATACGTTTTTGTGTAGATGGTTCATAATCTGGTAATTCTGGGTATATGTTATCATCAAAAACTTGTTTATCACGCTTTTTAGATTTCTTTAAATGTTTTGGTCCAGTTCGTAAGTAAGAAAGGATCTGTGCTAATTATTAATAACAATATCATTTGTGGTCAATGTGGTTCTGTCATCCATGCTAGGCACATCAGATTGCTGCGAATTAGTGTTGTTGGAATATCAGTGTATGTAATATCTTCAGTTAAATCAATATGTAAGCCATACGTAAAGGAGCAAATGATGGATTACGAAACATCTCGTTATCAGACAATGCAACTCTAGAAATATAAAATTTAACTTTAAATAAAATGTATAAAAAGAATTACCTTTTTCTTACCTATAGACATTTCTTCCAAGTCTCGTTTTAAACTGCATATCATCTTCTTCCTTTTGCTTTCTCTTTATCGGTTTAGTAGTTGCAAGCTGTTCCATTTCAGTTTCTTGTTCGGTTTCTTTTGCAGTAATTTCACTTTTGACTTTTTGTAACAGAGCATAATCTAAACCTTTGACCAAGTGAGTGTGCTCCATATCTCCTCCCAAAAACTTAGATTCCTGAATCATCTGACGCATGCGTTCAGCAGCATCCATGCCAGATTTCATATCCGGTTGCTACGGCTCTTAACCACTGGCAACAGCTACAGGGTCCTGAGACTGATAGTCAGGGTTGGCACCAACACGACGTTCTTTGGCCCTGTCACGATACTTCTCGGCAAGTTCAGCCATTTTATTTTCTTCCTGTTTTTTGAGCTTGGCATAGAATATCTTTTTTTTGCGTCTAAGCTCAGCTTTGTCGTTCGAACCACCAGATTCGAATTTTGACGTAGACGGCGTCTTGGAAGATGGCGTTTCGCTTGCATTGGAGAGCGATGGAGTGGCTGATGGATGACTTGACCTAGGGGTCATAAGTAATCGTCTAAAATCTGCATTGGTCAGCCGTTGGGTCTGACTCCCGTCTTGGACTTCTGTTTCTGGCATCTTGATGTTTGTAATTTACTGCCTAGACCAGTTAGAACTTCATGAAGATTTAATTTTAAATATTTTAATGAAGATAAATAATCCAAAGATTAATTAATATACGATATGATATGATGTATATTAATTAATCTGTGCACTGTGAAGTATCAAATTAAGGTAGGTTAATGGTGTTAATTATTATTTTAGTCATACATATATAGTAATATTTTGATTCGTGAAGCAAACGCTAATGTATTATTATTACGTTGCACACACGAATGTCGAAAAGTCGAATACTACAATACCGAGCACTGCAGTCTGCACAAATTAGTAATTACAAATTACATTTTACGGTAAAAATGTAAAATAGTAGTATCACAGGACACAGACTATTAATTAATCACCATAAGAAATCGGAAGATGATAAAAAACATCAATAATATAATATTGAATAATCAATAATGAATATCATAAGATTGCACGCATGCACTGCACACCACGGCACGGCGACAGAAGACGGAACAATTATTAGGCACCAAAGAACCGCCCGCGACTGCAGCTCATATTTATCCGGTTAGATGGCGCCGCCGACGTTTCTGTATTTTTTATATAAATTTTAAGAATTTGAACTACTCCAGACTCCAGTTCCAAACGCGATCTCTATATTATGTGACTGTCATTATCGGTGGTCAATAGATTATTTATCATAAATTCATAATTGACTTGGTAACTGGTGAGTCGTGAGTAAATAAGTAATTCAGAAGTCAGTCAAAAATAGTTAGTCTTTGACCTTTGTCACGGACTAGGATATCACAGAACAATAGAAGATAATGTTCTATGGATATACTAGGCACTATAAGTATATATAGTATATATTATATTATAGCTATTATAGTGCTCTAGATATACAGGACTGGAAACGGAGTATTATCAGTGGAACCCAAATGTTTTCATATGGTACATAACGGACACCCCATCTATTTAGTGGATTTAGCATTGAACTAAAATAATATGAATACCAAAACAATTTTTATTATAATTATTGTAACATAATATTATTCTTTATTTCTTTTCAACATAAGTAGGCATTTTACATTAAAAAATATATATTTTGAAACAAAGATATAACTGTTACCTATGTGTGAACTAATTTTGCAAACTTTTGTATATCTTAGTCCGTGGACAAGACATATTAATAATTTTATTTTAAAATTATGTTAGCAATGGTTTTAAATAATATAATATATCATTATTTTTTACTATTTTTATTTTTTGAAATGTTTGTAATGTCATAGCAAAGGTTTTCAAAAAAATTTATACTAAATTACACATTATTACAGTTATAATATTATAATAAAAATGTTCATTATATAATATTTAATACTATTTATACTATATTTATACCATTAATATTTATTTTACTTCTAGAAAAGATATATTAAACAACTGGACGAGGTTATAGACATTTGTACTAAGATTTATAATTTGTTTCTACTGGATTAATCTTCTTTGGCCATCCCTGAACTGAATGTTTCAAATATATTATTGATAGGAGTATAAATGAATCTTATCTTATAAACCCCTGTCCCCTATTTAATTATTTCTAGTTAAATTAAACTACCTACTATTATCTTTAAAAAAGTATAGTAGTTTTGTTCACTAATATTTTATTATAAAATTACAAAAATAAACAAAAATTGTTGGAATTTGGTAATGACGTAATGTTGAAGATGAAGGAGAATAACCAATGTTTTTTATTTCTGATGAAATTTTTTATTTTAATAACTTATTTTTGCAATCATTAACACAAATTTATCATCAATTAAACTGTTTATTAATTAACCCCCATTGTCTTTTTAAGAAATTCTAATTTTAAATATTTTTAGTGATTTTATACCTTGTTATTTAAATACATTTGTATTATGATATAATGATATATCAAATTGTGATTTGTTTTCTTATAATAAAGAGTTCTAGACTAACACATATGTATATTTTTGGGATTTTATAGTTACTTACACAGGATTTAGTCATTGCATTTGTGTACTCCATACTTTCTATTCAGTTTTGTGTAACTTGTTTCATAAGCAAAACTGATTAAATAATTTAGCATATCTTTTTGAATTTAGAATACCTACTTAAGATACATTTGATTTCAAGACATTATAGGCTGATAGACGATCTTCTCTCAGAATTGCAGTGGCGGACTGGGAGAAAAAACAGCCCGGGAAGATCATAATTTTAGAGGCCTGAAGTATACTAACGGCCCTTTATATAAAATACCACAACAAAAACCCTTCGTAAACTACGTGTAAAAATGGCTAAGTAAAAAAAAATATTAGATCTTTAAGCACTAGAAAGATGTGATATCATGAATAAATGCTAAGTATATTGAATTTAAGTAAACTTATTTTTTCAATAATTTATTTACTTGAAGAGGAATTATTTCTTAAAAGAAACAAAGTGTGATGAACAAAATAATTAAATGGTGAATATTACTATTAAAATATAACTTATTATTATTTAAAAAATATTGTTATTAATATTTATATACTTTTCTAAATAATTCCTCGCCAAGTACCTAAATAAATTATTGAAACAAAATAAGTTTACTTAAATTCAATATACTTAAGTATTTATTCATGATATCACATCTTTATTATATTGCTTAAAGATCTTATATTTTTTTTTACTAAGGGCCGTTCTTACTATGTCCTGTAAAGTGTCGGTTAACGCTAACCTACTGATAACAGATTTTATTACCGGCAGAATTCGGCCGGTTAAGTGTCGGTTAACTTTAACCGGACATTATTGTAAGAACGGCCCTTTAGTCATTTTTGCATGTAGTTTAAGAAGGGTTTTTGTTGTGATATCACTAATATTTATCATTATTAAATATTGAGTATTCACACTATAATCTATATAAATAATAATAGTCTTTAGAAAAATTAACGCTCTATTTTGTATTAAGTAAATCTCATATTATTGTACTTAATTGTACTTTATTGTTATTATTTGTATTTAAATTGAATGTCTAATTTAAGAGCCTCTCACCCAAGCTTTTGCTTATAGCCTATAGGAGGTGAGCAGACTTACTACTGTATTTATAATTTACATTTTACAATATGTTGGGAATTGTTTGCAAATAAAATAAATTTGTTATTATTAACGCGCTTGAAATTCTAATGCTGCGGGCCGACGAGAACGATAAAAATACTAGCTGGCTAGTAACACACGCCGTCGTCTGGGAAATTTTCTCGGAGATCGGTCTATGTGTTGAACGATTTGTATTTAGCTCATTCTCGATTAAATCCAAACGCAAATATTATCTTCTTTCAAAAAATAAATTATGGCAAAAAACTTTAACAACATCGACCGAGCCGCAAAAACATAATATTACTGGAAATGGTGGAAGACATTTTGGTCAACAAGATGGAACTCGCTTTGACCGATGAAACCGACGAAAATCTCGTTGTCGTTCTTGTAGTCACTCCAATTCTGTCTGCCATTGTTACGGTCGCCACTACAGCGACGTTCAGACCCTGGAGTCGGAGCCCGAAGGCTCGACTCTCGGAGGCGCAGACGGAGAGGAGTTGGCTGAAGACGTCGAGGAGACCGTCTCCCCGCACTGTGGCGGAGTGCCGAGCGGCGACGCGCTGTCGTCTGCTGCAGAGTCGGAGCTCGGTCCGATCCCAGAGACAGCACCGCTCGGCGACGACGACGACACAGTAAGAGAAGACGGAAATTCGAAGGTTTCTGAAGCGGAAGTGGAGGACGATTCCGTTTTGGGTCCAGAAGACGATGTATCGGATGAAAAAGTCGAGACCGCCACAGGAGAAGACCCCCTGGGCGAAGACGACGGACAGGAGATGACGGCGACGGAATGGAGGGGAGGATGCGGGAAAGAGCACGGACGGTGAGCGGCGGTAAGTCACCCGCGCACGTTCTCCGACCTGCACCCGCGGCGCGACGGGTTCGCTGGCGTCGCGCGCTCGGTCGTCGATGACACGCGAGACCCTCTGGCGGCTCGGCGAGCGCCGGACCGCAGTTACGGTCACGTGATGCGATGGCGGCGGTGGACGGCGGCTAGTAGACGTACCGGTGCGGGCAACGATTCCGACCCGACGGTACACCGACTCGGTACGACGGCGGCGGCAACTCGGTACGACAGCACCGGCGGAGACCTCGGCACGGGGTGAGTGGTACGGAGATTCGAGTGCTAGGAACACGGGGACGTCAGCGCCGCCGGACTCGCAGAAACTTAACCGTTTCAGGGTCAGGTGGCGCGCGGCGGCCGAAGGGACAACGCCAGAGCGAAAATTACCGAAAGTCAATATTAAGGATCGCGCTGTGGTCCGCTGGCTCCAGTGCCGTAAAAATCATAGGTGCAGGCGGTGCACAGCACTGGGGCCCGCAGGGTCAAAGGGCCCTTGGGGCCTTGGTCGGATAGATGTCATTTTTTTTTTAAATTTAATTCATAATAATTGTATTATTATCTTGTATTTAATTTCATAAACGGCAATGTAAAAACTAATAGCCTGGTCCGTTACTTGGAATTGTTAATCAAAATATTGGGAAATTTACTAAGCCAAGAGCACGGACTAAGACTTAGTCCGTGGCCAAGAGTAACATAAATAGATTTGTTGATTATTATACGTGATATCGCGATACCGCTACTAACACACACACTAACAAATTGTTTGTACTATCTTAAATCGTGCTGGAGACGCTAAGCGGGGTCGGCTTGTTTACCATTCCCTATCATATACGTATCGGCTAAAAATGCGAGGGAAATTTTCTTAGAACAGTAAAACTATTTGCAGAATTTGACCCACTTTTAAGAACACTTCTTGATAAAAAAGATGGCCACATTAAATATCTAAGTCCAGCTATTCAAAATTACTTGAGAAATTCTACTTCCCAAGAAAGATTAAGACGTAATATATCAGTATTAATAGTATTGAAAGAGGTCGTACTGATGAAATTAATATCAAAAAGGTTATTGCTGATTTTGCAAATGC